GCATATAGTACATGATATATGACAAAGTAGCATGCATAACCGTGTGAAATACTTTAAATTGGACCATTTTAATCCAGTTTGTGATGAACATTTTTATATGACCGATATGCTGAAATAAATTTAACAGGTTATTAACTGGTTGCTGAACTACTTTATTTTTTTTTCTCTTATCAGGGCAACACGAAGACAGGGTTCAAAAGATCTGATACAAGTAAGACGAATTCACAGAAAGTACAAAAAGTTAATAAACTATTTTTGGACCATTACAAATTTACCTTTTATTATTCCATAGCTTTAAATATTTAAATACCTTTTGGGGACAAACTGAATATTGTGGACATCTATAATACATCATGTCTAAATGTACAATACACATAGAGAGTATTGATAGGCTTTCACATTGTCAATTAATTTTTATCCAAGGTCCATATTTCATAGTAGACACGATAAAGGAATAATGAATACATAGTATGATAGTCATGTTAGCACAGCAGTGATCCCTTTGAATAAGGTGATATTCACCTGCAAATTCCCGCGGGAGCATCCGATACGTTTTTGCATTAACATGATTTAAGTTCATTTCCCTAATACCAGACAAAGAACCATATTTAATAAGAACCAGTGTGATAAAAGCTTCTGATTTGTTTGACATCATTTTTAATAAAAGTTGTATAAAAGTTTTGAATAAAAAAAAACTCTATGAGCATGTTTATATAATCATTACAATGTGGACCGACGTTTTAATTCCTGTAATTATTACTTTTATAGGAAATCATTAAACAAAATGTTCATTTAATCATTCTTCATAATATTTTTTTTGGTGGTTGAATCAAGTTTTGACGCACGATGACAAAAGCATGGTTACCGTCTGGCTGGATTTACGACATCAAGACAGGTTAATGAAAACAGTTAAGGCAATAACTCGATTAAGACAAAGATATTATGTTATTAACCCTAAAGAAGCAATTCATGTTGATCCCATGCCCTGTTATATAAAAAATGTTGTCTATTCGCATGTCTATCTGTCAAGATTGTACGGCAAAAAAAAAAGGAGTGTACAAGAAGGCGGATGCAATTACGAAATGTAAAAACAAACAATCTGAGTTGAGGTCAATGGTAATAGAAAAGAAAGCACATATAAATGAAGCTATGCCATATATCCAGGAAATACCTTCACTACTAACTATCAATAAATATATTGTTATCTTTGATTTGGAAACTACTAGCTTTTCAGGTAATAGTGACATTACTCAGATTACAGTTTCATGTGGTTCAAACGTATTCGAACTTTATGTAATGAAAAGATTAGAAGTTCCACAAGAAGAAAGTAATATCGCTGATATTTCATTTCCACACTCAAAAAAACAAAAAAACAAAAATCAACAGTTGGAATATGTACTTTAGGACAGTCATTGTTAGAATACACGATTTCTTGAAATATTAATAAACAAGTATTGATGGAACATGATATAGCTAATTTTGACATGATATTTTGCAAAACAAATTGAAGAAATCCAACATTGTCAGGAAATGTCAAAGGTTCGTTAACACATTAAAAATTTGCAAGTGGGTGTTTATCAAAAGATCATGTTGAGAATTACTAGCAGCCTCCTGTAAAGGGGTTCAGGATAAGAATTATTTTCTCATAATGCTAAATAAAATGTTCTTTCTACGAAGACAATTTTTGTTATGTAAAAGCTGCATGAAAAATGCAGAGATGATAATTTGTGACATATGATTTAAGCCTTTTGTTAATAACAACAAATAAGCAATACATCAATATTTTCTTATTTTGGCAATAAGTGGACTCAACTATTCTACTTTTTGAAATATCATTGGAGTGAAAGTAATTTCAAATAGATGAAAGTGAACTCTTAATATGCTGGGACTATGTTTCAGAATTTTACAGTTGATGTTCAGATCAAAATGTTTGTTTTAGACCAAATTTCATTCAACAGTTTACTTAATCCTAAAAAGATTTAGCATTTTTTTTTATTCAGGTTTTTCAGATCATCTTGATGTTAACTTCAAAATGATCTTTTTGAATTAAAATTTTTGACCTTGAAAGATATTGTAAGTTCTTGAAAATAAATTAATCAAAACGGATATATTTAAGCTGATTAATTCCATCTTAGCACACTTCGGTTAAGTTGGCTAGCTGTTTTTATTAAAAAGGCCTTCTAAGTGATCCTTCATAGGAAATGTTTTCTCATGAAATCTTTTTAATTATTAGCAAAAAGAAATATACACGTAATACAATCAGAATGATTTCTTCGATCTACACTTAAGCTCCGGTGCATTAAGATTTAATTCTAATTGTTGTCATCCTTTATTCAAAGTTATGTTATATAACAATGGGATTTATGAAAAAGAAATAATCTATTCCAACCAGCTTGTAAAACGTCGTTAACATACAGTGTTATTTCAATAAATAATAGAAAGGATTAATTTCGTACTTATCGGATGTGATTCTAATTTATTTGAATACATGTAGATTATGAAACTTTTGACAATAGATTTTCAGATGAAAAGGATAGAGTAAAATGTTATAATTTAGATATGTAAATAGGAATCTAGAATCTACTATCTTTGTCTAATTGGTTTATTTCATACTGGGTAAGGATTAGTCTTCAAATAATCACTTGTCTGAAAGGAAACAGAGAGCTTTACATTAATAACTATGAAAGCACTGGTATAATAGAAGCCATTATTTTGCCCCTGAATAATAAAAAAAACAGTTAAATGTTTCTTCAGGTCTTTCGTAATTATGATAATTTTATGCAAAGAACAAAAGTCAAGGACGTAAATATCTACGTATGTTAAAACCTCTACAACATATTTTTAAAATCTGATTTGAAGAGATAGCTTTTATTGAATCAGTTAGAAAAACAAACATATTATTCGTGTTTTTTTTTGCTATTTTCTATTTTTCTTTAGAATAAATCAACAATTTCAATGTTGTGGTAAAATAATTCTGATATTTCTTACAATAAAAGTTCATGCATATGGATTGCTTCCCTGTTGTAAAAGAATATAAATAATAGATGTCATACGTATACGGTTATGAGCAAGCAACCCGACTATACAAAAATCGATAATACATCTCAAAGTTATGCAACTTTGACATTTTTTCCTATCAGGTCTTTTGATTTAGCTAAAAAGTTGTTGTCAATATAATGGAATTAAATATGACTGTCATACAAGTGAGAGGTTACGCTAGTATAAAACCAGGTTTAATCCACCATTTTCTACATAAGGAAACGCCTGTACCAAATTAGGAATATGACAGTTGTTTTTGCGTTCGTTTGATATTTTTGAGCTTTTGATTTTTGCCATTTGATAAGGGACTTTCCGTTTTGAATTTTCCTAGGGGTTCAGTTTTTTTGTTATTTTACTTTTAACAAACTTAAACACAAGTTGTAAGTTTTAAGATTTCCACTACAATGTTTTTATTTTAAATCTTACAAAGTGAGCTTTGACAATAACCAATACAATACTAGATTCTTGAGCTGCGACGATTACTACTCAGACGATAGTTCCTATAGCAAGGAAGATGGCCATCAGGGCCCGGTTGTTCAAAAGTGTCGTTAGGCTAACGATGTCGTTAAAGTGTCGTTAGCCAGTCGTTAAATTTAACGTAATCGTTAAGTGTTGTTCAAAATTTTTAACGCTTAACGCAGTCGTTAAATCTGTGTTAAACCTAATCACTTCATATACCTCGATTAAATCCCTAACGCAGTGTTAACGATGGCCGCCTTAGCTCGCTTTCATGTACCAGTTCAAAGAAAAGAAAGAACTTTTAGAAGCAAAGAAGAACTTACCCTAGACTACACTGACACAGAACTTAGAGCACGGTACAGATTTGGGAGGGAAGGAATTTTATTCATATCTAATCTAGTCAGGGACAAGTTATCTCGGCAGACAAACCGGAATCATGCCCTCAGTGTAGAGCAACAGATAATGGTCACATTGAGATTTCTTGCCAGTGGAAGTTTCCTCCAGGTCATAGGTGACACATTAGGTAAGACTATTTACTTTTAAATGCCTTAACTGTTTACATATGTTTTCTCATGTTTTATTTACTAAGTAATTCAATTAGAGAACTTTTAGCAGAATATAAGTGCCAATTCATAGTGTACATGCATTTATTGTTGCATTGTTTCTTTCATACTCTACTGTACACATATATTTGTTTACAAATTAATTAGCCAGTAATTATTTTGCTAAATTTGTGCATCTCTACTTTGTACTTGTAGGTTTGGACAAAAGCACAGTGTCAAGAGTGGTAGATTCTGTTTTAGACGCTCTTTGTGAAAAGAGGAACGAGTTCATTCAGTGGCCTACTAACCTAAACCAAACCAAAGCTGAATTTTACGAGATTGCTGGGTTTCCAAACATTTTGGGTGCTGTTGATGGGACACACATAAGAATAAAGAGACCGCATCATGACGAAGCCTCATTTATCAACAGAAAAAGCTACCCAAGCTTGAATGTTCATGCAGTATGTGATGCAAAAGGTAATGTTCTTCTGTTTTCATCTTCACATTTGAACTGTCATATTGTAAACAAATCTGCTGTTTCCCCTGAATTGATAATAAATTTCAGCAACCAGTCTCTCTATCGTCTGTTCCATATAACGAAGTACTTAAAGTAACTCTGCCCTTTGAAATATTAATAGTTTTACTCTTCCCAGACCTACATAAAGAATTCCATACAGTATTAGAAAAATAATTTCCAGCTTAAAAAATGTTTTTATTTATTTTGTTTTCCAAGACTTTAAAAAAAAAAGAATGTACAACTTATTCATTAGTAATACTACCCCCCCTCCTTTCCAGTTTTATACTATACACAAATTACATGAAAGAAAGACGCTGGATTAATAAGACTTATGCTTTATAATCCTTGGCCCCTCCCTTTTTGGGAAATGTTTTTGATGCATAACTAATTTATGAAAATTAGTAAAAATTGTAAGCTTAACAAATAGTAACTTAAATTGCTGCTTAAGCTGTGTTTTAATTGAAAATAACTTTTTTCTTTACTTTGTTTTTCAGGAAGATTTACAAACATAAATGCAAATTGGCCAGGTTGTTGTCATGATTCCCATGTTTTCCGAACATCACAGGTGAGTGTAAATGGGCAATTAATAATTTTAAATCAGCTTCATTAGTCCAGAATAGTAAACAGATCATAATTTTACATAATATTGAGAACACTTTAGTGTGATTCTATTAGTCCCAGATGGTATATATACATTTCTGTTTCATGTAGACAAGCTAGGTGTAGGTGCAAAATATTTTCATTTTGTAAAACAGGTCCAATGTTTTTGGTTCATATCATATCAGAGACATATAATACTGTATTTATTTGTCTCTCAGATATCATCCATCAAAAAGAATGAACCCCCACCCTATAATTTATGTTAAATAATTAAATGGAGATGTGGTATGATTGCCAATGATATATCTTATAGCAATACCAATTGAACTGATATGCATGTATATTCTTTACCATAAATATATTTCTTCATGCAGGTGTGTGCTCACATGGAGAGAAATGGCAATTGGGAAAATGGTATCTTACTTGGTGATAGTGGCTATCCCTGCAGGTCTTTTTTAATGACACCTTTTCTGAATCCCATTGAACAACACCATAGAAGGTACAACAGATGTCATGCGGTCACAAGATCTGTTATAGAAAGGACATTTGGCAGATGGAAGAGAAGGTTCCACATATTGCATTCTGAAGTGAGTGATTATTTAGATGTTTTTATACTGTTTCTCAATGATTGGAGTATTTTTCCCCTTTAAAATTGGAAATCATCATATTTTTTTCAGAAAAATACCATACACCCCCCTCACCCTAAATACTAAATGGTTGTTCCCTTCTTTGGAATCTGAAAAATTTAAATATTAGAAGTAAATTTGCACCTGAGTTGTGTCTTAGTATATATTATGGTCCGTTACCAACCAATGCCCAAAAAGGCGCAAGCCAGGGCCGACCGTGCGAGGGCTGTATATTAGCCAGTCAAGGTCGTTAAAAACTCCCATCATCATCACCAGAGCTATTCCGGTCATCTAATTTTTATACGACCGCAAAAAAATTCTGACATTATACCACAAGGTTCCATGTCACAAAGGGAATGCTGGGATTGATTTTGGGGGTAATTGCCTCAAAATTTTAGGAATTAGGGGCCAAAAAAGGGGAAAAAAACAAGCATTTTTCTACTTTCATGACAATTACTTGTGTGTAAGTGTATGAATCTTTCTGAAATTGCACTACAAGGTTCCATATCACAAGGGGGAAAGCTAGAATTGAGTTTGGGGTTATAAATTGCCCTAAACGTTTAGGAATTGGGGCCAATAAACAAGCATTTTTCTAGTTTCCAGACAATAACTTGTGTTCAAGTGTATGGATCTCTCTGATATTGTACTGCAAGGTACCATACCACAAGGGGAAGGCTGGGATTGAGTTTGGGGGTGATGAATCATAAGGGTGTTCAAAAAATGGGGGGGGGGTTCGGTCTAAAATTAAACTTAGTTTGATTTTAATAAAAATTGAATTCTTGGGGTTCTTTGATGTGCTGAATCTAAACATGTATTTAGACTTTTGATTTTGGGCCTAGTTTTCAAGTTGGTCCAAATTGGGGTCCAAAATTAAACTCTGTTTGATTTCAACAAAAATTGAATCTATGGGGTTCTTTGACATGCTGAATCTAACCATGTATTTAGATTTTTTATTTTTGGGCCACACTATCAAATTGGTTCATATTGAGGTCAAAAGGGTCCAAAATTAAACTTTTTGTTTGATTTCATCAAAATTTGAATTATTGGAATTCTTTGATATGCCAAAATCTAACCGAGTATTTAGATTTTTAATCTTGGGTCCAGTTTTTTAAATTGGTCTACATTCAAGGTCCAAAGGGTCCAAAATTTAACTTAGTTTGATTTTAACAAAAAATTGAATTCATGGGGTTCTTTGATATGCTGAATCTAAACATGTGTTTATATTTTTGATTATGGGCCCAGTTTTCAAGTTGGTCCTAATTGGGGTCTAAAATTAAACTTTGTTTGATTTCAACAAAACTGAATTGAATATATGGGGTCCTTTGATATGCTGAATCTGACCATGTATTTAGATTTTTGATTTTTGAGCCCCGTTATCAAATTGTTCCACATTGAGGTCAAAAGGGTCCAAAATGAAACTTTGTTTGATTTCATCAAAAATTGAATTCTTTGAATTCTTTGATATGCCGAATCTAACCATGTATTTAGATTTTAGATATTGGACCATAATTGGTAAATTAAAAATTTTTAAGTTCTTCAGTGTTCAAGTAAAGAAAAAAAAACACACCATCGACTATACATGCATCTTATTCTTCCTTCAACTACACAATCTTGTGTAACCCTAAACCTGCAAATTATTTTCATTTACCTGTGTTTAAAGTTATTGCAAATGGATGGTATTTTTGTTCGAGCATATTGTTTTTCTTTAATTGTTTAAAATTTCTTACCGATATAACATGTTACTTTTATTATTCTTCCCTTAGTTTATTTATTTTGTATTCAAAATTATTTATTTTGTAAAAATATTTCCTTTCTCTATTGGTACTGTACAGGTATACCTAACACCAAAATTATTTTCATTTACCTGTGTTTAAAGTTATTGCAAATGGATGGTATTTTTGTTCGAGCATATTGTTTTTCTTTAATTGTTTAACATTTCTTACCGATATAACATGTTACTTTTATTATTCTTCCCTTAGTTTATTTATTTTGTATTTACATTGTGTCATAGGTCAAATTTATTTGTTCAGTGTATGTTCAATGGTGTTAATATGTCCTTTGATTGAGTTAAGCTATTTCAGTTGATATTTTATAGTGTGTCTTTCTATGTTGTGATGTTACACTATTGTTTCAGACAAAGGGTGAAGGTTTGGTACCATTAAAACGTTTAAACCCGCTGCATTTATTTGCACCTGTCCTAAGTCAGGAATCTGATGTTCAGTAGTTGTCGTTTGTTGATGTGGTTCATAAGTGTTTCTCGTTTCTCGTTTTTTATATAGATTAGACCGTTGGTTTTCCCGTTTGAATGGTTTTACACTAGTAATTTTTTGGGGCCCTTTATAGCTTACTGTTCGGTGTGAGCCAAGGCTCCGTGTTGAAGACCGTACTGTGACCTATAATGGTTTACTTTTATAAATTTTTACTTGGATGGAGAGTTGTCTCATTGGCACTCATACCACATCTTCTTATATCTATATGGTAATTTATTTTTATCTTTTGCAGATTCGTATGGATCCCAAAAAGGTAACCAAAATAGTTATGGTTTGTGGCATTCTTCACAACATCTGCATACAACTTAATGAACCAGATGTAGCAGCGGAAGAGCCTGTTAATGAGGATGTAGAAAATGGAATAAACTACAATGGACAACAGGATGGAAGAGGGATTAGGGAACACATTGCTGGAACTTATTTTAACCGTCATTAAAGTTAAAGCATCTGTTTTACTTTCTTTATTTTTATGTAATCCAAAAAACTGAAGGACCAGGATTATCTACGATTTCATAGAATTGTTAAGCTTTGAATGTTCAAGAAAAATCAGATTTGACAATTGCCAAAATCTTGCACCAACAATGAAAATAGAAGATTTGGTATGCTTGCCAATGAGAGAGTTCTTCTAGAGTTCAAATGATATAGATAGGAGCAATTACATGACACTGTACAGCCTTCAACAATGAGAAAAATTAATACCTTATAGTCCTATACAGAAACATTGTTGTTGACTAATGAAATAAGACTCAACATTGGAATTATTATCTCTGAACATCAGCCTGAAATTATCACATTTGACATCAAAAATTTAACACCACTTCATTGTTAGGACTACAGAAATGACAAAAAACAATGCAAAATCCAAATTGCTAGCTGTCTTCATTTTTTAAAGTTAATCATCAATTTCAATTAAAAAGAATTAAATACAATATGTGGTACATGTAATAGAAAATAAATCAATATAATATATGCAGCATTTTAATAAATGGATTTTGTAATAAAAATGGTATTTTGGAAAAAGCAATTAAAACAAGTCAAACATTAAAGAAAATAGAATATTAAACAACTTGAAAAGTTTTCTAATGTTTTCGCAATCACTGCCCCAAAACTGACAGTAGTTCCAGGGCATCAGAATCTATTTGCCATGCAATTTCTTCAAGAGATCTATTTGAAGTATATTCTTCTCTAGTTCTTTTTCAAGAACTGCACATTGTAATGCATAAACATCTTCAGCTGTTTTCTTCTTCTTGGGTGTTGGCTGTATGCTGTGAGAAAGAGAGCACAATATTGAAAATAATTACTGTAATAACCAATATAAGAATGCTCATTTAAAATTTTATTATCCAGATGTGTGCATCAGTGTTATGGAGCTTCCAATTGATTTTTAGGTGGGGGTGGGGGTAGGATGAAATTTGAAAAAAAAATAGGCAGGACAGGTGTTTTGAGTAAAAAAAAAGGCAGGATGAAACACTTTGCCCAAAAAAGGCAGGATGACAATTTATGTAAAAAAAAAGTCAGTTTGTTGTTGTTGTTTGGAGGGGGGGGGGGGGGAGGGGAGGGAGGGTTCAATTCGTAACAGAATAGTGTATTGCACAAAAGCAAAAAAAAAGAGGGGTATTTTTTTTTTTTGGGGGGGGGGGGGGCAATTCGCAACAGCATAGTGTATTGCACAAAAGCAAAAAAAAAGAGGGGTATTTTTTTTTGGGGGGGGGGGGGGCAATTCGCAACAGCATAGTGTATTGCACAAAAGCAAAAAAAAAGAGGGGTATTTTTTTGGGGGGAGGGGCAATTCGCAACAGCATAGTGTATTGCACATAAGTAAAAAATTGAATATAAATTCAAATCCATCATATAACCAATTCTGAGTTCTTTGACTACAGTTATTCTGTGTGAGAAACATATTATGTGTCAAACATTTAATTTCAATCCAAATTCAGACCTGTTTAAGCACGAATATTGTGTCCATTTTTGCCCCAACTGTTCAGGGTTGGACCTCAGCGGTCGTATCCAGCTGCGCTCGGCGAAGCAATTTATTATAGTTTGTTCTTATGTTTTGCTGTAACATCACTGCATGTCCCAGGTTACCGAAAGGTTGAGTGCACACACATTCTGTCCCAATTCAGTAGCCTGTAGGTCAGTGGTTTTTAATTTACTTTTTATTTGTTTTTTCGTAAATTCTTTTGTTAACCCATTGAAGGGTCTTTTATACAATATGGTTTTTTCTCATTGTCGAAGGCTGCACGGTTGCTTAATGGCTTATATCAACTTTATTTTGACTTTGCTGGATAGCTGTCTCATTGAAAATCATACCACATCTCCTTATTGTTATTTCTAGCATTTTTGGAAAGATCATTTTTTAAAGGTTATTTTTAGATATGTGTTTGTAATTTTTTTAGGGAATGCTTATGATTTTCTAAATTTTTGTTAAGAGCCTAAACGCAGATAAAATTTATGAAATCATTTCTCTCTTAATTGTGCACCCGACACAAATGGAGACATATAACTGTTGAACATGTATATAATAACTAATGTAATAAAATGAGGAATTTCTTGTTGTAAATGTGTAGTAACATTACCTGCATGAACTTGGAAGATGCTGAACTACTTGGACCTGGACATGTGGCATTTCTATCAGTCCCTTCAGCATCATCAGCTACTGGGCAGGTCTGCTGATTGTTCTGCAAGTTTGAGTGGTGTCTGTCTAAAGCTCTTATCCAGACAGATTCTTCTGCTGTAGGCCTGGGGGTAGCTGTGCACGGAGACTGGCTTCCATTTGTGGCAAGATTTGCTTCTAAAATATTAAGTAAAGAAATAGAAATAGAAATTCCGTAAAGATTTTCAGTAAAAACAAATCTAACATACTGACAATAACCTGAATGTTTCATATGTGACATGATAATAAATACCATGGTGGTATCGATCTGAAGAAAAAAAAATGGTTTTATTTGAAAGTATATTATATTGAATCTTCTTACTTTTTTTAAGAAATGACCTATAAAATGGTTAAGATCAAATGGTTTAAAAGAACTTGGTTCCACTTTTGCTTCATTTTTCAACTTTTTTTTTTGTGCATAAGGCATAAACATGTGAATGATGACTTTGTGGTTATTTAAAAAGAGAAATGCTACTTGTTTTATGTATCTGTCTGTTTGTTTTATTTGTTTTCATTTTCTTTAGTTTTTTTCAGTTTTAGGAGGTCACTTTGTAAAGACCCCTTTTTAAAGTAGTACTGGATTTGTTTTTTTTTTGTATTTTGAAAGTAGAAGTACAAAGAGGAATAACTCTAGATTATTCATTTACAAGATATAAGAAACAGGCTATAGCCTTTTATCTATGGTGTAAGCAACTAATAAGTTCGTATATGTACATCAAATTAAATATTTTAAACTTAATAAGTGGTTGTTTTTTGGTTGATTAGAACAGTTTCATCACTTTAAACCAGTTTTTGATTCTTTTAAAGTCATATCTCCGTATAAAATTTATTTTTCAATGTTGCAAGGGACAAAAAAGCGGCAAAAGCAAAACAACAAAACAACACGATGAGGAAAGTAGGTTTTGCAGTCAAAATAAAGATAAATAATGGTTAAATACTGTTTTCAGGATATCCGAATGTAAAAAGCGTAAGTGGATGATTCAATCCTTTATACACAAGTAACCACTAATGACGCATGCATACGTATGATAATTTAAGTAGATAGACATATATTTTTAGAACATGTCAAGGTCAAATTTATTTAAAGCGAGGAAATCGCATGCTATGGGAAAACCTTCTGTCAAAGCAGACGATCGTTAGCGTAAACTTATTTCTGCATTTACAGGTTAAAAAACAAAGTTTATAAGTCAAAATAAAGAATGAAATTTAAGTATAAATTAAATCAAATTTAAAAAATACCTACCATTACAAGTTATATCTGTCTCAATGCCATCAACTCCACTGAATGAGGCACTATCCCTCATTGCATTTACAATGTTTTCCTCAGCAATGCTCAACTGTGTGGGTGGTGGTCCACCTCCAGTCTTGCTCATTTCCTTTCTGGAGTTAGTGAATTTTTCCTTTGCACCACGGCACATATTGCGATATTTATTTCTAACTTCTGCTTCAGTCCTGAAGCAGACATCCAAAGCATTGACCTCCTCTGTTATGAGTTTCCAGACCTCATTTTTCTTCTGGTTTGTCACTTCAGTTGAAAATCCCCCTTTTAACAACTCCAACTCGTTTGTCACTCGAGAACTGACCAAGTTTGCCTCAATGGAGGTGACATTGGCTTTTCTGTCCCTTGGCAATTTATTTGCTGACAATTCAGCCATCTTGGTAACAGGAAGTGAAGATTTTCTGTGCATTATGGGTAACAATTTAGCATAAAAAAATTTAACGACTCTAAACGCAGTGTTAGTTAACATTGTCGTTAAAATTTTTTGAACAACACATTTTAACGCAAATGTTAGCTAGCGACTTAGTTAAGATTTAACGACTCGTTAGCCTTAATCATCGTTAAGGCTAACAACTATTTTGAACAACTGGGCCCTGGTGCCATAAAATCTCATTAATTAACATCAGCAGTGAAAATAACCTAACACATATTTAGAGCTAACTTTTCGAGTACACATTTACATGACGTTGCATGAAATGAGTTAATTTCATATATGAAGTAACGTTGAATACATAATGACAATAAGACACATAGCTCTAAACATGATGAATCCGTTATCTGATGAATCTGGTCATCATCAAATGCTGTGCTTCTTTCAAAAAGTGGATATGTTCACTAAACTTCAATGATTCTTTGAAAAAAAGCATCAACGATACTACGCTCATAATTTAATACACCAGACTCGATACATTTTTTTCAGATAGCCTCATTAATTGAGTTTAAGTCAAAACAGCTACCGAGAAAGCCAAATTAAGGAGTTAAAGAACATTAAAACAAAGGTTTCCAAAGTTGTGATAATCTTGCTACGTTAAATTGTCACGTGATTGAACAACCTAAGTGTTTGAAATAAAATTTAATTTGCAGAAAAAAATAACCGGACCTGTATTACTCATATTAATATATAAATGCTATTTACAAAATTTAACGAAAGGATTGCCCAAGATAACATTTATGTGCTATAATTAAACAATTTTAAGATATTAATGTTTCTTTAACATGTTTTGTTTTTATTTTTATATTGAGGTAACAGTCCACAAACATATACAAATAAGGAGATGTGGTATGAATGCCAATGCAACGAATATCAACTGAAAGACCAAACAGAATACAGATCCTAAAACAGCCGTCTACAATGCGAAAAACCCATATGTTGTTTGTAAGTTATAAAAATAAGACTGTTATCATCCATTGTTTTATTAATTCATTTAATTGATTGCAGAGAATCGACGTCTTAAGCTTTTAAATCATTGTTAGGTAATTTTTTTTCGTCATAAATATCGACGTCAAGTACAAAACTGAAAAAAATTGTGTTGTTTCTGTTTAAAAAGTAGTCTTAAATACATGGTTTTTATACTTGTAAAACGTTTTTCGTCTTCGAATAAACACATGAGACTATTCATAATGATGTTTTTTCTGAAAATAAAGAAGACGAGAAACTTCTTGTAACGATATTTTTCCTTCAAATAGGAAAACTGATTGATATGTTTGTTAAAATTTGTTTGTATTGTTGTTGTGGATTTTACAAGAAAACGCCAGATAAAATATGAATGGATGAAATCAGCACTAAAACAGTGACTGTCGTCATCGATTATTATTTATGTCTTATTAATATAGCATTATGGTTCTTAACTATGCACACAGTTATATGGTAAAACATATTATTAAGCATATTATTACCTTTTTGCCAGATTTAGTGAGAAAAAAAAGGAAATTAAGCACACTAAACCATGCTATAGTGTCTCGGTTTCATAAATTATCAAGTTAAATGATGACACTGATTGGAGCTACTAATTCCGAAGTTCGGTCAGCAAACAATACGTCTGATATGCTTCCCATAGATATCTCGATATTTAAAATATAGTTTACGTAAACTGAGGGATGAACATTATTTAGACAGAAATGCCACTGCATTCCATTGTCCTAGCTCTTTGATTGGTGTATCGTTAACCCTACATTCACTGGTATTCATATAATCATAACATTCAAACTTTGATAACATTAGCTTCACTATTCGACATGATCGACTAAGAGAAATAAAACATTAAGATATTAAGACATGATTTTAAGATTACATTTTTAATAAATACATTCCCAACATACATTGTAGCCAGTGTTATACCTTCAAAGTGCATGTTTCAAATAAAAAAAAAAGGGAATTACTTAACAAAATATTAGAATATAAAAATATGAAATAAGGAAATAATGAATCATGCGAAAATTTGCATTAAGGTTTTCTATCAATTACATAAAAAATAACCTGAAATACTGTGGATTCATTATTATTCGTTGGATACCAATTTTCGTGGATTTCGTGGTTATATGTTAACCACAAAATTAAAAGTTATACGAATGGCAAATTTACTATAGGCTTGTATGCAGACATTGTCAAAAACCACGGAATTAAATATCCACGAACATGTAAGTTTTCCTTAATCCACGAAAATTGGTACCCACGAAAATAAATGAATCCACAGTAAGTCCTTTAATAAGAATTGCACAAACAGAAGTTCATAATTCTTTTTCCAGAAAAGGGCACCCACATGATAACATAAGAATGCATTTGATAAACACTTTTTGAAAAATTTTTAAAGACTTCAACAAATACAATAAAACTAGTTCTTGATAAAATTGTCGAAACAGGGTAAACAACGTCCCAGTTGAAATCAATGGAGCTATAATATCATCGATGTAAGTATGAATATATATGCATACAATATAATAGGTTGTCTGTGTTTCCTGTCAAGATTTTGTAGAATGGTTGCTGATGATCCGAATCTATTCAGCCAAAGTTCCTCATGTAAATTAAAAGATTTTGCTTCGAAAGTATAAGATCGACATCATAACTTCATATTATCTTGTAACATATGGATTTGAGAAATGCAAAGGTCTTAAAATATGTTCCCACAATGTCAATAGATTGGAATGCAAGTTTGATGTGATTAAATACAATCTAATGTCTACTCCAAGTCCCCCAGATATAATTGGTTACTGTGATACTTTTTTGGGTGAAAATACTTCTGATAGAGAAATAGACATTCCTGGATATATTTTACAAAGAAAAGATATAGACTAACAGATGGTGGGGATGACTGGGCTGTCTATTTAACAGAAACCACTTCCTTTTCTAGAAAAATTGATTTTGAAATAAGTAACATTGACACTATTTGGTTTGAAGTTAAACCTTGCTATAAGAAATCCTTTTTATTGTGCTTTGTTTATAGGCCACCCAAGTCACGAACTGGTTGGATAGATAAATTTGAGGATGAGATTAAGGTGGTAATGAAATATAATTCTGACGTAATCCTTATGGGAGGTTTTAACATAAATTGTTTACAACCCAATAAAATACCACAAAGATGGTTAAATGCTCTAGAAACATAACTTTCAACAGTTAATTCAGGAACCAACCAGAGTAACAAATGAATCAAAAACTTTGATTGACCATATATATTTCACCCACTTAAGCACGATGAAAGAGGCTCATGTTTCTAAATATTCTATCAGTGATCACTATCCAATATGTACGACAAGACAAAAGAAAACGTATGATAGAAAATATACTCATTCAACAATCACTTATAGAAATTTTAAGACTTTTAATGAGCAAAATTATTTAAAAGATTTGAAAAGTGCACCTTATCAACAGATTGAATTTGAAAATGACCCATATGTTTGTATTGAAATGTGGTACAACATTTTTAATAACATTTTAAATAAACATGCCCCTATTGTGACAAAGAGGATCAAGAATGACAGACAGCCAGAATGGTACAATAAAGAAATTTCATATGCAAGAAAAATGAGAGATAAATAAAATTCACTGGGAATGTGGGCAGAATATAGATTCTGGAGAAACAGAACAAAACATATCATTGATACATCTAAACAGAAATATTATAATGATATGATAAAAGACTCGAAAGATTCTAAAATACTATGGAAATGTATTCACAGTCTAAATCCATCTAATCCATCAAAACCACATGAACTTATTACAACTGGAGACCATAAAACTACAGATCATCAGGAAATTGCTAATGCATTAAATAATTAGTTTACCTCATGTGTTGAAAAATGAAGGCATAGCAGGACACCAAGCAAATCAAATTTCAATACTCTGACAAACTATGTACAATTGAATTTTTTTCAAAAAAGGCACACTAAATTCATCATTCCCACAGTAAAAGTTACAGAACTATTTGAAGAAACAATCAAACTAGATGTTTGACATCTTCTGGTTCTGACAATATAGGTCCAAAGATTTTAAAACTGAGTGCTCCTTTCATAGCATCTTCCTTAACATATATTTTTAATCGAATGATTGATACTGGTATTTATCCATGTGTTTTAAAAAATGCCAAGGTAGCGCCTATTTTAAAATCAGGTGAAAAAAATGTAGCTAGCAATTACAAACCAATATCTGTTCTGCCAACATTATCAAAATTAATAGAGAGACATGTATCTAAACATCTGTATAATTATTTGACTAAGTTTCGAATATTACACCCTTTCCAGTCTGGTTTTAGACCTAACCATTTTTGTCAAACTGCCCTCATTAATATGATTGAACAAAGGCTACATGAAATGAATAATGGAAATATCAATTTGGCAGTTCTCCTGGATTTTGAAAAAGCTTTTGATGTTGTTGATCATGAAATTTTATGTAAAAAACTTCAAATTTATGGCTTCCATGACAATACTGTTGATTTTTTAAAATCATATTTGAAAGAAAGAACACAGCAAGTCAATATAAGTAATTAGTATTCTGATAAAAAGTTTATAAATTTCGGTGTTCCACAGGGCTCAATATTTGGTCCCATTTTGTTTGTTTTGTACATAAATGACCTTCCATTACACATCAAAAGACTTGTATGCTGATGACACAACTATGCATACATCAGGAAAGAGTATTGCTGATATGCAAGATGATACAAGATGATCTCCAATGTGTCGAAAAATTGTGTCATGAAAATAACATGTTCATAAATTCGGATAAAAGAAAATGCATGGTCATAGGTGCAAGACAAAGCCTGCGTTTAAATCAAGCAGAACCAGTTTTAGCTATTGAGAATAATATTCTTCAAATATTATCAATTGAAAAACTTTTAGGTGTTAGAATTGACTCTAATCTGTCATGAACAGGCCTTATTAATTACTTATGTTCATCAGTATCATCTAGACTTCATTTAA